TGTAGGGAGAATCCTTTATTTATCGGTCTCATTGGAGCCGCTCACTACATTGACACCGATCCTTTTGAGATCAACCGGATTTATTTTAACAATTGTTATGCCGACTTGTAGATTGGGACAAGCTATATACTTGATTTTTGTTGCATTTTGAAGTCATTTTGCATAGGTGAACTTCGGGAAAAAAGATAATATTTTCAAAGATAAAAAAAATGGGACTTCGGAGACGGAGAAGATTGGTATAATTATTAACAACAATATCTCGAGTTGCCTCTATAAGGCTATAGGCAGAGGTCGGACTAACAAGTTGGCAACATGTGGGTCACAATGCACAAACCCGTATTTGAACATCATTTCAGCAAAAATTTCACTAACCAGCATAAAGTACATTATGTCTTAGTTTCTTTTCTTGCTCAACTTGGTTATATTATATTCTCACAAAAAAATTTAAGCATAAACAATAAAAACATAAAGGGGCACAGGAGTCCAAAACCAGCATTTACTGAGGGTCTATTTATTTTTTCAGCTTCATATTATATTCTCACAAAAAAATTTAAGCATAAACAATAAAAACATAAAGGGGCACAGGAGTCCAAAACCAGCATTTACTGAGAGTCTATTTATTTTTTCAGCTTCAACCTTCAACCGCAAACCCAATGATTCAGGCAAAAGGAAAAAAGAAAAACAATTTAAATCATTCAAAGCAAAAACATAGTGTAATTATAGTCTCTCCTCCAGAAAAAGAAAGGAAAATACAAATTTCCATGACTGACTGACTGACTCATTGATTACACTATTCCTCATGTTCGACCAAAGAGAAAAAGACCAATTACACTAACTCTTATTCCTAACCTTTTTTTCTGTAATTTTTTTCATTTCTAAAAATCTTCCTATCACTTAACCTCCAAATACCTCATTGAGCTTCTCCAAAAGCTTCCCAAGAATTCCATCTTCTCCCCCTCCCTCTGTCACACCAGCATCATTTCCTCCATTATCACCACCAACTTCACCATCTGCCTTCCAACTGCCACCTTCAGAATGCTTCCCATTATGACCCCCGCCGCCATCGGTAGCTCCTTCACGGTTGGCTTTCACAGCACCTTCGTTCTCACAAACATTACAAGAACCATTACCATTCTCGGGTTTTATAGCACCCTCTTTGTCCTCGCCTCCTTCACGGTGGCTCTTGATTACGGGAACACGAGGCACGTTTGGTGGAGCAGGTGGCCTTGGTCCCAGGTCAGTTTTCAAGTCTGGCTGAACCCGCTTTTCTAATAGTATTTTACACTCTTGAAGGGTCCGTTATTCCATTGTTGTGAATCCACATCCCTTGGATCTTTTCCACTTGGCATCTTCATTTTTAGCCATTGCAAGCAAGGTTTCCTTCAGCCCTCTTTTGAATTGAAAAAACCTAAGAAAGTGATGCTGGAGTTTACTTTGGAGAGAATCTTCTCTTTATCCACACCACCATTCTCATCGGAGCTATCAACGGCATTGACACCGATTTTTTTGAGATTAGCCGAATTTATTTTAGCAACAATGACGCCTACTTGTTGATTGGGACAAGCTACGTATTTAATTTTGATTTTAGCAGAGATGAACTTGTTGAAGAATGATGGCATTTTCACAAAAGAAGAAGATGAAAATGCTACTGAGAGAAGAAGATGGGGAAATGCTACAGAGAGGGAGAAGATATTTATTGACAGCATTTTCTTCTGATTTTTACTATTACCCTACGGTTATTTAATCCAGCTGTCCTGGTAGCACACAAAATGCCACATCCATTAGGGCAAATACACTTTTCCCATTATTGATAAGTGCGGTTGCATTTCACGCTTAGATAAATCTGTTTTACCTTAACATTGTATTGGGGGTCATTTTCTTTGTAAATTACGCTATTACAGGTATAAGGATCCCTTTTATACATTTATGGAATCCATGTGTCCATATCAATATAAACAAAGTCCTATATGTTGTAAACCCCCCATGTTTATAAGCCGGTTATTTAATCCAGCTGTCCTGGTAGCACACAAAATGCCACATCCATTAGGGCAAATACACTTTTCCCATTATTGATAAGTGCGGTTGCATTTCACGCTTAGATAAATCTGTTTTACCTTAACATTGTATTGGGGGTCATTTCCTTTGTAAATTACGCTATTACAGGTATAAGGATCCCTTTTATACATTTATGGAATCCATGTGTCCATATCAATATAAACAAAGTCATATATGTTGTAAACCCCCCATGTTTATAAGTGCAAGGACCAAATTTATTCCACTAAGGTCCATACTTACCCTATTCTTATACAAGAGTTCCTTGTTGTTGTAAATGATGGTATTATGAGATTAAGGATTGCTTTTACAATGTAATGGAACGAGTATGTCCATTTTAGTATAATACAAATCTTTAATGTTGTAACCACCACCTTGTTTACAAGGATAATGACTAAATTTACTCCTCCGATGTTCATTTTTCTTTGTATTGGGGGTCATTTTTCTTTGTATTAGATGTCCTTATCTTTGTAAATTACGATATTACAATTGACTGGATGGATTTAACAATCTTATGCAACATAAATGTCCAAACCAGAGTAATACGAGACCTTAATATTGTAAACATTAGTGTTTACACGTATAAGGACCCAATTTACTTTCCTAATGTCCCTAGTTACCTTAATATTGTACTAGATGTCCTTCTCTTTGTAAATTACGATATTACAAGATTAAGGATGGGTTTTACAATCTTCTGGAACATAACTATCCCAAAAATAGTAATACGAGACCTTAATATTGTAAACATCCGTATTTACAAGTATAAGGACCCAATTTACCTTCCGAATGTTCCCCTTTTCCCTAATATTGTACTACATGTCTTTATCCTTGTAAATTACGATATTAAAAGATTGAGTATGGATTTTACACTCTTATGGAACATAAATGTCCAAAACAGAGTAATACGAGACCTTAATATTGTAAATATCCGTGTTTACAAGTATAAGGACCCAATTTAACTTCCAAATGTTCCACTTTACCTTAATATTATACTAGATGTCTTTATCCTTGTAAATTACGATATTACAATATTAATGATGGGTTTTACAATCTTCTGGAACATAACTATCCATAAAAGAGTAATACAAGACTTTAGTATTGTAAATATTCGAGTTTACAAGTATAAGGACCCAATTTACCTTCCGAATGTTCCCTTTTACCCTAATATTGTACTACATGTCTTTATCTTTGTAAATTACGATATTACAAGATTAAGGATGCATTTTACAATCTTATGGAACATAACTGTCCAAAACTGAGTAAAATGAGACATTAATATAGGAAACGTTTGTGTTTACACGTATAAGGACCCAATTTACCTTCTGAATGTTCCCTTTTACCATAATATTGTACTACATGTCTTTATCCTTGTAAATTACGATATTACAAGATTGAGTATGAATTTTACACTATTATGGAACATAAATGTCCAAAACAGAGTAATACGAGACCTTAATATTGTAAATATCCGTGTTTACAAGTATAAGGACCCAATTTA